TTTAGATCAACATTTGCATTTTTTTAAATTTCACTTCGTTGGACTCATATGTGATTGTAAAGGTTTTCATATATTTATTAATAGAGAACGTTGTAACGACTGAAAATTTCGAAAGCTCCTTGAGGAGTAATTATGTGGTACTGAAAACAGTTCAAGAGTGTAATTAGTTAGCCATTAGTGTAATATATTGGTACTCCACGGCTGTTCGCTACGCTTCAATGCAAATAAAAGAAATCTCGATTTAGAAAATTCTCCCTTACAATTTAATTTTAAATTAGCTGTATCGACTTTGAAATTTTTATTTAATGTAAATGTATTCCATATTTCCAACTTTTAATAGCACTAAGATATGTTTTGCTTGGTTTTTGTAGACTCAAATGTGTAGATACTGATATGAAAATAGAATTTTTAATATACTAGCAAATATTAAACAGTTAAAATATACTAGCTAAAACCTGAACGTCAGCCTGTGGGTCGGACTTCGATCAGCCGTCAGCGCATAACCAAATTAGAGCAATTTATGTCGGGAAATTGGAAACGCTATCGAGCTCTCGATGTGCCGTCGCAACTACGCTACCGCACTGGCATTTCAGACATCCACTGTTCCAGCCCTTGCTAATGCCGGAACAATGCACGAATCTGGACAGACAGATCCGAGAGCGGCCGAAGATAAACGACAACCGTAGAGCGTTGTAACAACTGATTGATATACGGCGGCCGATGATATCGTACCCAACGGTCGACGAGGCCGAATTCCGGACCCGCCTCAGTCACAGCTACAGTGCAGCTGACAGTAAACGATGTTTAGTTAACGACGGGACTGGATGAGAGGCGAAGCTCGACTTACTGACCGGACTTGATTATTTAATGATCATCGGAACTAGTATTTATGTACTTACTAACTTAACACGTTAGTTCTACACTTTAATTCTAAGTTATATAAGTTTTTTTAAATAGCCTAGTCACTCCTAGTTTAGGGTCGACTTTGAGTCTCTGAGTGAAATGTGAGTGAAGTGAAATTATTTGACAAAACCAAGTAATCGACCAACTTTGGTAGTGTTCACGTCTTGGTATCTATCGTCGAAGCTGGAACGGTCAGAGTTTGAGCTCGCTCGACAGCTAAAACAATAGCGAATCAAGCATGCAACGGAACTTCTCAAAGACACCCTCTAGTGCGTGAGACGCTTAGTGAACGCTTCCTTGCTAACTTTATATTGGTTAGGAAACTTTGCCGTTAGACGGCAAGCTGTCTTCCATCAAGTAATATGCACAGATATGATGAAACGCTTCTTTAATTTTACACGGTGAAGTAATGAAAATGTGTTTCGACAAGTGTAGAGTGTAGGGATAAGAAGAACATATTAACTATGAGTAAATTAAAAAAAAAAACAACAATTAATACAAATAGTAAAATAAGGAACGAAATCATAAAACTAGGAAAATGTCTTTCACAGCCAAAAAGAATATATTTATTCTTATCTCGGTGGTAATTCTAAAAATAATTTTCGCGATAAAGACATTTTCACTTAAACATTCCGAATGAAATTCTCTTGAATAAAGCTGTCCGCTTAACATTGAATATAAGATCGCTTTATCGTACCAAGATAGACAGATAAGGACTACATACATTTTCATGAGAAAACAGAATTAAAAAAAATATAGCAATACGCGGTAAAATTCGAAAGGCGCAGTATGCTTCCCGTCGGAGGGACCGGCGTCGTCGTATGTAGTCGGAAAAACGTCGTAAGTGATCCGACGTTGGAAACCACACCTTGTCCCAAAACGGTAAAGTCAACAATGAAAGGGAACATTCACGTAAATCGACTTAGGCTTTACAGATTACGTCGGTCGTTCGGCTAATTAATTTTTAAGTCGACATCTTGATTCCAACAGGCGGCATTCGGCTTCAAAATGAATTTGAGTATGATTTACATATTAATTTTACATAATACTTCATCTGTCTTTGGCCTAAATGATTAAAATGAGGCCTTTCAAATACAAAGCTCCGCGTAGTTTGTAAATGTATCACGGCCTGTAAGTAGCTTATGGTTTAGGAACTTTAGTATGTCTAAAATTAACTTTCAATTACATTGTGGCATTAATATTTTTATTTTTGGCATTTTAATTAAAAAAGGACGCAAAGTTTCTTCACGCAAAGGTATTTGTATGTTTTATGAACTCCAAGTATTGCTTTGTTAAAAAACTTTCTCAACATGCCATATAAAAGTTTACCAAAATTCGATGGAAAAATTCTGGCAGGAATATTATAACAATACCGAAATTTTCTTTTAATCGAAATAGTTTACAATAGTGTCACGTGTGGGTTCGTGTAACGTGCTTTAGATACGGTTATATCGTGACGAACAAAATTTGCGCCGACCATTCGGGCCATAAATCCGACGTTTCCTAAATCCTTGAAAGGGCACCGTCGAGCAGCTTTCATCAGAAAACTCTCCATTATCTGAAGGAAATCGTTACCGGGGCCAACCTCGCCCACCCTTCGCCCCCGACTCGAAGGGCTTTCATTTACGGCGGCGTTGCGTGCACGCGTCCCCGCGGCCTTTGCTTCAGGTGGGCGTAGTCATTGTGTTCAGTATTTAAGTGGCTCATTTGATATTCAGAGACAGTTTGCATTCGGAAAGCTCGCACGTAGGGAGCGGGCGGTATCGACGGCCGCCGTCACGCCGACACACCGACACGCCGCACGCACGTCCTCGCCAAGACCGAGAGTGCTGACAGCGTGCTACCGAGAGTACACAAACCATGTACCCTAGACTTTAATGTAAACACTTTATTGTACATACGATCAACACAATGATGATAAGTTTGCAAGTCGTAGGATAAATTGCAGGCGCTTAATAACTAGTTTTTTTGGACAGTGGACTACATGATGATCAAGACATATACATACCCTAGTTGGTTACATCTGCTAGGAATAAATTATATCTCAAAACTTCTAAACATTAAGCTGTAGTTACTTGTAGGTCCATGAAAACGCACACGTCGGGTGGCGATGGCGAGGAGGTCGTGTAACGTTTATCTACAAATACACTAATGAAGGCATCAACAAAAGCGACTAGATTGTTAATTAAACCCGCTCAAAATGTGACACCCTTACGAAATGACGCCGAGCCGGGAGCACAGTGCACGGCTTGAATGTTATTGAATTAATTTGTAATCAGAATTCTCGGTGAGCGTTCTTGGATGTAATAATACTATTAATTTATTTATCTCCGTTCGAATTACGTTTCAGGCTTCTTATGTGATGTTACACGTTTGAACTGGTTTCGTGTCACGCGCGTTCCCCTACCAAGCATTATCATTTAAATGTGAATTCGACTTATAATATCCCAATGGAATCCAGATACATTTTAAAAACAATATTCTATTTGATATTTCGAAGTAGAACATGACTGTACCTGGATAATACTAAAGTATTCGTTATCGGCGATTAGTCCATTACAGTTTTGAGAATCTAATGTTTTAATTTAATAACTCGCTGTGCTCAAACTAATAGTAAGCCATCTACGCGATAAGCTCGATATTTATGTATTTAATTAGTTACGCTTACACAGTATTACTTAGACATAAAAGGGAATTCAAAAGAAGCCATCATTAGACCGCCGACCAAAAGGAATAACCATTCCCTTAATCATTATTCTTAAAGACTCTTCATTAAATTCCTTTTATCTCTCCCGGGATATTTCCTTCGCTCGGCATCAATCACATTCACTCCGAAAAACTCCTTGGCTTTATTCTAAACTCTCATAATAGGTAATGAAGGTTTTGATCGTCGCGGCCGGCTGGCTGTGGCCGATTACTTTGAACGGCACAATGGCTCCCAGGCCGGTACAATGTAGCCGATGCTGAATCCTCAAAACTTTCTTAGTCCGCATCCACGCTAGATACCAAGCTAATTACTGCGAAACTTTTGTAGATAGACACCTGCGCTGAGTCGCGACCGCCAGACAAAGACCGGAGTTATCGCAGACTTACAGGCATCGACGTTTTGTCGAACTAAATTAAACCTTATTCTATCGAATAAAGGCGCATTCTCCTAGAATCTGACTCAAGGAAAGGACGATGAATTGATACTAAAACGAATCAATATCGCTCCTCGCTGGAGGAATTGTTTTCTAATTAATCATCTGGTGCACCAAAAGCTTTATTTCAGTTCTAGGTATTAATAAAATGTGATTCATGTTCTACTTCAGTCCACAATTATTTTGTAATTAGTTTCCTTTCAACTTGGTTCTCTTGCTCGCCATAAATTGTACTTAGAGCTTTAAACCGATATAGATTTAACAATATGACAATTGTAAATACGAAAACATCTTGTAAAATACTTCCTAAGAATTAAATTGTATATCATATCGTATTTAAGACACCGTTGTAAACAATTAAACCTCGGTTTGTTTTCGGAATAAAATGTATCCATTGAAAATATGCGATTTTTGTTAGATTGTCATCAAATAAGAAATGACAATAAATACAGAGTACTTGTATAATTTCAAAAAAGTTTATTGTAAATTAAATTTCGGGGCGAAGTTGGTTTACGTTCGCAGCGCTGATATGTTGCGTGGAGCATGTTGGTACGGCTTACCGCATTCGATAATGACGTATGACGTCATATAACTTAGACCTAAAATGGCAATGTTCAACATGCGATGTTAAACGTAACTTTTATTGTATATTCGTGCGTAGCTCGCGTCAACCTCTCTTAACGTTACTAATTCGCTGTATTTTAATTTGTGGAAATTTTACCTTAAATTTTTATACGCTACGAGCTATTAAGTGACAGTAACATGTTTTTATCACGGTAACATTTATTTTTATATTTATGGTCAATTTTATGGAGACTTTTAGTTGCTGGCCTACAAAATTTACCGACATTATTGTACATAAACTTAAACGTATTTGTTACTTAGGACGCCTAAAAATAACCGTTATAAAATGTACTATTCGTTGACGCCACAGAGTAAATATATAGAATCACTTACCGGTCCGAACTGTTCAAAATAATTCTTTACATCTTCAAGCGTTGTGGGTGCTGAGAGCCCTCCGACAAAAATTTTCTTTGTCCTGGTCACCATCTGTGAAAAATAATCACATCATTAACGTGACTTGATAACTGTAATTGGCGTTTCACATATATTTTATCGATAGTTAATTTTAACAATAGGAAAACGTCTTTGACAATAATAAAGTCAAAATAGTCCTACAAATTTATCTGGCCTAGTGTTAATGGTGCTGAAATCACTGTAAGGTCTCGCAGAAAATATAAAAATGTATTAAGGTAATGAAAATTTACTATATAAAATCTTACAGCACATCTACAGTCCGACATGAATCTAGTAACACCTTTTGATATTATCTACGAACTGTTGTTAAATTGTACTTTTACAGGCCAGATAAATTTGTCGCACCACTGATTGATTTGAAATTAATACGTCGTAGAAGTAGATATACCCGTTTCTATTTCCTTTTAGATACGATATAAACAAAATCTTTGTCTTGTAACTGACATTAATCACGTTAAAAGAATAATATTATGATGAATTAAATAAAGATTATGCCTAATAGCTTCTAACGTAAAAATTATTACAATAGAAGGAACCAAGAGCGGTCGAAATGTAAGAATAATTACTGTTAATACATTATGCATGCCACCGTCCTCGCACAGAGGTTACCGACGGATATCTTTCAAAGAAAGAATATTACCTAAGCAATTATTCTAAAGGTAACTACCACTATCTTATTGCTTTTATAAAAATATTCCTGACTATGTATTTCACGTTGTATAAATTAAAACTACAAGATTTATTTCATTATTAAATGTTTTCCTTGAATATGATTTTAAAAGGGTATATGTGTTAGATTTGTTTTTGAACATTACGGTTGGACCACTACAGAAATTTAATACGAATTCTGTCGATATATTATGAAAGCGTTCTCACCAATATTCGTGATAAGCCCTCAACTGTACGCATCGATACAAAATGCTATTTTAGTACCATAATATTCTAAGAAATATTAAAAGACTATTACTAATATCAAAACTGGAAAATATCATATTAAAATTTAATTAACATTGAACGTATCGAACAATTGGAGCCAAGACGTTTGACAAAAAAATATAATAATGTCAACATAGTAAGTCTAATCTCAAAGGCACTGTTCTACACGTTCTTGAATATCTATGAGACGTAACGATATAAAAAAAAAATACGGGATAAGTAGACAATGGTCGTCGAAGCTGGGGGATTTCCCCTTTAGCGACATAGACGAAGTTCTATATAGTAATTAGCAGATACAACTCAGCAGTTACGACTCAAATAGATGTAAGAAAAGGGTATATCGAAGCTTTATCTCTTAGCACAAAAGATCTTTGAAAAAACCCGTCAAATATATTTTGTCTTGAAATTATTCTCTACCCTAATTTTAATGTTAAGAAGATTAGGTTTTATTTTTAATTTATAACTTACAATATGAAACAACTTTTTGTTCATAGAATTACTAAAAATTTGTTTTAAAATTTTTAAGGACATAGATTATTTGTCCAGAAAAATAATTCATATTTATAACATTATCTTCATTTTGTGTACGTATTACAGAATCATTTCATTATGTTTTTACTTGGAATTGAAAATTTTCGATCAGTAGATAGACCCGAGAAAATATAATTACGTTTTAGCGAGCAAACCCCATTACTATGAGTGGTAAAAGATAATATCTTCGGCGAAAATTGAATAAAGCAAGATTCGTAAGTCTAATGTAAGTAATATAAGTGAGTAAGTGGGTCCGAAGTACAGCGACGATCCCAAACGAAATCACACTCAAAATATACGTAAATGATGAATAAGGGGCATGCCGAGAGGGGCGCTACGTGTCCAAGTGGCGCCCTCCCCCTACTCGAGCCAACCTTGCTCCGTGGATCTTGAGCCAACATTGCCCAGCTCCGCTCCCTCTATCACGTCTTTTTAAATCGTGGTGTCATTCAGCTCTTAAACTTTGTACGTTACACCTCATTAAAACTCACCAATTAAGCGAGCTCCTAGTTTCTCTTAACTTTAAACAGAAAATTGCAACGAATCCTCAATTGCTCGTTCAGCAAAATGTTTTAAACGTAATTAATAATAAACAGTCGAGTCAGTTAAACATAAATCATTCCGGCTCGTTAATGAATTTTATTACAGCTAACAATATGGGGAAAATAAATAAAAATTTAATAAGAGGCATTCATTAATGGGATTGTAAAGGGTGGTCCCGTGGGAGCGAGTGTCAGGTCAGCCGGCGGCCGCGTCAGCCGAAACTGTTCGCAATTACCTTAAATGTGGACAACGCAGTACATTCCGTAGGGAAAATTATTATTCACCGCATATACAATTTTTGCTTCGCTCTAAATTGGAACTCACTAGCAGCGATTGTTTGAATTAATTACCGCGCCTGATATCAGTTGCCTTTAACAACATGAATGAATATCGATTATAACATTAACTACTTTATTCTTATTTATATTATTATAACTAAAAGATTTTCCACGGAAAAGAAAATTATTAACTTAGATTTGTATATGTAAGTAATGTCTTGTTCTTGTAAATAGTTATGTGGCTTTAATCGCTTTGAACTTTTATAGCTTTGTGCCACGTATTATAAATGAATATTTTTTTTATAATAAAGTAAATATTTTCAAATATCCAATTCCTTGTTACAATATTTTATTATAAACCAAACCAATTACGCGTCGCAATAAACAAGGAGCAATAAAATTGAGCGCCATAGTGGCTCATGATTCAAAAATTTTAAATGTATGGCCATAAACACGAGCGGCGTCCATCACGCGGATAAACGACATTATCCGTCCTCTCGTTAACAGCGCCCTGTTATTCCTCGTAGCCATTTCGCTGTGAAAAATACAACAATTTAATTTAGCCTAACTTGACCGCGGCCGAAAGCAAACAGCGAACGGCCGCAGCTCAACAAAAAGCGACACACATCAATTACGCGGGAGTCCGGCGCAGCGCAGCGGCCGCCGTGTCCCTTTACGCGACAAACACGCCCGCAACTTACTCTAACTCAATTCATAATACTCCGCCGCCAAGCTACATGTGACGTCGTTGAATTTTTTAAATTTTCCACGTGGACCAGAGCGACGCGAGAACGACATAAAGCGATACAATTCCACAGCCGGAAAAATGAAACCGCGCTACATTTTGTCAGTTTGAATTTACAATTTAGTTAAATTGCCAAACACAATATCTCGAATGTCGAATGTACGCGTGCATTAATAATTGTCAAATATTATGAACACAAACGAACATATTCGTATTCGGGATTTATTAATTAAAAAAATACCATCCACTTGTAATCATTTTAGATGCACTAGAGTCAAGTTTAGTTATATCTAGTTTAATACAAAAGTTATCATGTTATAATTGGTAGAACATATCGATTATGTTTTTGAGCACAGCCCAAACAATAACACAGCTCCAAAAAAATATGTCAATACAAGACACTAGTATTATAAACAACTTTCGTTGTATGTACATACATATTTCGAAAGCTCAATTTTCTAAGGTCAGGTATTTTAAAATAAAAAAGGGTGCTTCGCATTAGGTAGGAAACAATATTAATCAATTTTTACACAGAGGCAATCATTTAGGAGGAACATGGCACGAGGCACACAAAGGTCGTCCACGACGCTGAACGCTGACACAGCATTTCATTTCGCCGGCACCGGCCGCACTCTCTGGTTTACGCGCCTGCTCTTTGTCTTTCCGAACAAATACGCTCTTTGAAGTAACTACTTTTTCATTATTATTTCACAATATGATATATTATTTCGGTTTAGGAAGATTAAAAATGTAAAGAAATTGTAAATTGAATTATGATTCATTGAGAGAGACTAAAACTTGATCTTATTAAAAATTAAATATGAATTACTTTGCTTCCTCATTGTTTAATATTAACTTTGCTTAAATAGTTAAAAAGCACTAATATACACTTCAGTGCTTAAATAATTTCCAAAATAGAACGGGAATATGCTCAGTGTGCGACGAAAGTGCAATGAATATTCTACAAAGATAGGGGAACGATCTCGTCGTCTCGTGTCGCACCACCTTATCTTCTTCACAGGTCATTAGGTCTCGCAGGGGCTGCATGCCAACAGATCTGTGCAATTTGTAACAATACGGAGACGGCGTGGATGGTAAATGGTGATACCAGGGCTTACGTTGCCAGTCCCGTTAGCTCGCTACGAGACTAAGATGCGACGTGGAATAAGTACCTAGTCGGCTGTGGCGTGCGACGAGGCGTCAGGCGACGCAAGACACTAACCGCGTACGTTCTAAATGGCAGACATTAACGAAACATTATTGCTTCTCGGCTTCACCAACACTTGCACAGTATTAATCTCTATCTCGTTCTGATGCACGCTGTCTGTTGCGCTGTACACTAGATAATTCCGAGAATAACTGGCGTTGGCTCGCCCGAGTATTGTTATATCAAAGTCGGAATGACTTAATATATTGAGACATGTAAATCGCTGACGAGCGCTTCACTCATTTTATAAGAGACCGCTCCGGTCGAGTTATCTCGCTGCTGCAGTTGCGTTTCTATAGACGTCTGAGATGAAAGGAAATATGATTGAAGGAGCTACTTAATCCTATCGTACATACAACGTTATTATACGACGAGAGTGTGAATAAAAATTCATAGCGAATTACCGTACGTTTTCATTCAATACCCGATAAAGCGAACACAAACGAGAAGAAACGAAGTAAAAAAGTGGGAATGCATGTAAATGAACAAACTTTTCTGAATTACATCGTGAGTTGAATAAATAACGCGTGATAGATGTGTTTATAAGTCCACGAAAAATTTAAAGATGCTCCGAACACGTACATGATGATCAATTAATACGGTTGTATAATTGTGCGCATTATTTTTGACCTATTAATTTCACGTTTAAGAACAAAATACTTAACAAATCTATAATTAGTGTGGCATGTCATGTTTAACGTAGATTAACAAATAAGCGTCGTACGAAAATGTAACAATTTAGAAAGTATATAAAATCTAGCCAGATGTGAACATACTTCAGGAATGGTTATACGAGCGCTCACAAAACAATAGGCACATTTAGCCGTCTAAAAAGAGAAATGGCTTGGTGCACTTGTCATCGAAAGCCATTCGAAACATCGGAATGACTCCATATAAGGGTTCAACATTAGTAGGTATATGTACACATCTTTGTGCACGATTCTTTTGTGCGATGGCACCCAGCGAGTGGATGAAAGCGAGACGTCGAGATGCTGTGTCACTTACTCCCCTTCTTACTAAATGCAAAAACACTGCGACTCTACACAGCCTAGCCTATTGTTAAGATTGACTGCGACGCCTTTGTTTCAAAATATGAAGACAGATACCAAAAATTACTAGTGTAGGGAAAATTACCCGAGATTATAATTCAAAGATGAGAAAATGTTTAAATATTACTTAGCCAAAAAATATAAATTAGTAGTGCTGTGAAAAAGTTTTCAAAGTCTTATTCTTAATGTAAAAAATTATATCCTATTAAAAGTGAAAGATAAAAGATATATTTCGAGTTTTACTTTTTGCTACGCGTAATCAAATAAAACTTGATTTTATGTTTCGAGCCAAATTATAAGCCGAGGGGAGGGCGAAATAAAAAGTGAATAATGAATGCGGAGGCCGAATCCGGGACCGCGCGACCGTAGCAATTATTTTGTTTCGAGTGCCATCAACATGGTTCGTTCTTTCAAATTTTCATACATTAAGCAAATGTCGAGAATGCGTAATAAGGATCTAAATGTTGTAAGCCGTCGCGGGGTTGCTAAGAGCCTTCATTTATACCCCGAGGGACCGGACAACCGGACATATTTCAAACGGACTCCAGTTTCAATACATTGTAATTACATGTACAAGCATATTTTTAAATATTTATATACAACTCTCATTTGTATGCTATTGTGACCTAATTACCCTCAAAAACAACGATTACTAGATTTTTTTAACATTTTGATAACAATTATTTTTTTTAGACAAAACTCTTAAGATAAATTAAAATTTTTTGTTCAACATAATACATTAACGTAATAAATATTGTGCTAGTTAATAAAGTATTATTTTAATATTATTACCCTAAAACAAATGCCTTATGGTGTTAACTATTATAAAGTCAAATATAAATATAAAAGAAATACTGCATGAAAAGAGAGCACAATATAAGACTCACCCTTTAACAATACTTACCATCCTTTTTCTCTTAACCATTAGCTATACAAATATTTGCCGTACTAAAAAAATATCTTACATCACTCCACAACTTCTTAGCGTCTCTAAAGACTTTTGATCTCTTACAAACAGGTACTAGAAAATGTATGGCGCTATTCGCGTAGTGTAAATAAATACAAACTACAGAAACAAGTGTCGCCTATGACGGAGACTGCGTACAAAACATGCAATCCCTATGAATGATTGCCGTCTCACTGAACTCTATATGCCTCGTAGCCGTATTTTTTTCCCGAATCCCTACTAAAAGGAAACGACGGCTTTATGCGAAGACAATGCAAAATGAGCCATCCCACGTACGTGTAATAGTTGAATTTAGTGTGCCACTTGTAGCGAGGGTTGAACGTTTTCGTCTCCACATCGGTCGATAGTGTTGACGAACAAAATAAGCTCCCCTCCGGGCGGGAGAGTGCGGTGTCAAGAGGCTATAGGATTAAACTTAAACTGGGTTTGCCCGCAGTTTAATTATACAAAAGGTATGTACTTACTCACGTAGTACTTGCGAAAATGTTCTGTTTCTCCGACGTAACTTTGAAATGTGTTAATTATATCCTTTGCGTCGGATTCAAGTGCAAATGGAATTTCAAATTTGATTCAATAATTAACATATCGCGTAACAAAATGTATGTAGATGTATTTATGCTACTATAACTTTCTTTAGCATTGGAGTTAAGTAATATTATTAAACAACATTTGACTTTTTTAATTTTGTTATATTTTATTCTATCACATCAAATGTTATTAAATAAATGAGACGGAAATAAAATTGAACATTTACTTTCATGATAACGGCATTGTAATCTTCTTAGATTTTTAATATTAAAAATCGTATGAGAATAAATCCCATTCTTCCCTCTTTTTAACATATATTTAGAATTGAATACTGTAATCGAATAATGATATGCATATACAGGTTGATTCTTAACGGAGTGATTTTGTGGAGTTAGAGGATTTTTTTGTGAAAAGCAATAACTTTAAAACTATAGAAAATCGCCAACATACTGTGCGCTTAAGTGATAGTTATTGTGGTCTTCTAACTCCACAAATTAGTTGATAAAGAATCACCCTGTATATTGATACCATGGGGTAATGCTAATATTGATTTTTAATATGAGGAAGTAGGATTAAACTAATTAAATGTCGAAATTTGTGCCCCCAAGAATCTACAAAGAAATCTATGGAGTTAATAAAAGAAAAAGTATACGGGAACGTTAGATGTCATCGGCTCCCTTAATTGTTCGCATAAGTCGGTGATATGATTTCATACAGACAGATGAATGGCCTGGAATACTTTTGTTCTTGCTCCCCTATATGACAGATTTGGTCCTGTTCCACATACTACGTATGTGTTTGATCACGGTTCATTCGAGTGATTTAGTATTCAGGACTCACACGGAAGTAATTTTAGAACCAAACTTTTTCATGTTCGATTTTAAATCAAATATTCGATGTAGAAAAAATGAATGATGAACCAACAAAAAAAGCAAATAATGTTAAGAGCAGGCGCACGTCTTTGACTAAACTATCGCATAACTTTTAAGTCTGGCTTTGATTCCTATGAGCTTATATGGAAGTGCGCACACCACTCGATTTTTAATTGTGCAACTAAACAGTTAAATTGGCTGCGAAACAATCGACAATCGTATAACAGTTGTGCGCTATTTACTTGTTTTTTTTTTTACTTTCTAGTATAATTAAACAATTTATTATGGGTTGAAAGCTAGTAACAATAAAGTCATTAGGGTTCGATTTTATTACCATTAAGCTAGTGTATTAAAAATGTATGAATGAATCGACTAAATTTAAAATAATAGGTACAAATGGAAATGAATAGACAGATACAACTTTGAATAGAGTTTAAAAATCTCTATTGCTTTTTGTGGATTGAATAAAAGAGCAGTGGAATGGCATCGTGAAAGACAGACGAATGGATTTTTATGAGTGGCACGACATAAAGCTAGTTAAATACTCTAGTACTTGCGCTAACTAGGGTTCCGACAGCAACAGCATAGCAACGACTAACGAAATATCTACAATTTTAGCTATGTATTCAATTATTTGTCTTCTGTAACACTCTTTAGAATTCGTTTTACTTTGAGCTTGTTTTATCTCGAGCACTTCATAGTCCGGTTCAAAATAGAAATCAAAAAATTCGTTTTTAAATTTAATATTTTTCAAGCAATTTTAACATCTAAAAGTTACAGTCAATCGCAGTTTACTACTGGGTAACATTTTTTCTAATATGGGAATATGAACATTGAAATTACTTAAGTATTTACATTCGTTTTTTTACCAGCGAAGCAACATTTTTAAGGTTTATAAATTCACGTTAAAACCATTACGAAAATACTATGTCGTTGCGCAAAAAAATCATGCACAATTAAAATTATTTTAAGCGGAGTAAAACTTTTAAAAAATGAAACCATTATTTTTGCAAAAAGATTTTTCTTGTTTGGCGACGTTGTTGCTAGTGCCAAATTGAGGCTTAAGTCGGGGTTGCAGTTAATTGTAATAACCTTCCGGCGTAGCGCGCGGTGCGGGCGGAGGTGGGCTGGGGCGGGCGGAGGTAGGGTGAGGTGCAGTAGGGCGGAGGGTCGGGAGGCGGGCGAGTGCGTTGCGCAGGCGCATCGTGGCCGGCACTCGAGCACGCGCCGCCACTCGAGCGCCCTCGAGCGGCACTCGGCGCCCGCCGCGTCGAATTGAAAAGATACCTACGCCGACACCGCACTGAATATTCGCTCACGTATCAAAACCGTAAAATGCAAATCTATGCAGTGCGGTCGTCTAGAGTGCTCAGCGGGCCCCGGCTCGCGCCACGTTTCATCAAATGCAATCTGACTCGAATTATCATACCCAAGTAGTTAGCGGAGTGATTGTTAAAAAGGTTGCTAATAGAAATATTCATTAATAAATGTTGACCCTTCAGAGTAATTTCAATTGTAAAAAGAAGGCAGCCAAGTCAGCAAAGAAGTCACCTGATATTTAGTAGACATATTTTAAGCTTCTATTGCATTAGGTCACAAGTAACCATTTTCCAGACAAATTGGATCACAATACTTTAAATTTAACTATATCGTTATCATCGTAACGTTAACTGTAGGTACATTTGTCGAAGGAAGCTTACTTTCTAAACAAACATTAGTTCAATTAGTTTGCAATTACCATCAGTTTGCATTATAGAACTTTGTTACGCGTCTTTGTTTGCACAACCTATTAGTTTTCCTCTAATTCAGCGAATGTGTACAAAATCAAATTACGATGTCCATCTAGCTGGCCTAATAGTTTCTCGGACACGGTAATAGAAAACGCAAACGAATACGACGCGACGCGAGATAGAGACAGGTCACGGCGCGGTTGACGTACAAACAAAACTCGCATATTGAAACATACAATTTATAACGCGAACAAGCCACGTTGAAATGGATTTACCGATGCAAACCTGCTCGTCTTTGATGAGGATCTATTTTAGGACGCGCTCCGAGCGAACTGTAACATTCCAATATTCCAATCGATATATTATTATTACATTCGAATCAGAATCGATGGCGCGTTATAAAATTTATTACGTACTCGTCCACCCGATGTTTCTTATTTGTAAACAGGCGCTTGAGCAACTTCTAGCGTAGCTGCCGATAATGTTTGATGTCTCGTTAAAAATAAAATCGCTCGTAAATTGACACGAATAAATCCGTGTTACGTTAACTAATTTGTCGACTGACACGACGAGGGGCAATACTGAAATAATTTTCGACGACGTTCGACGTTATGGATTATAATTATTAAAAATTTTAATTAGACAAGGAGCTGGATTACTTTGACGTTATTTTTATCTTCCGTAATGAAACAAAAATTTGTATCAGCTATTTCCAATTTCAAATAACTATAACAAATATTTATTTTATAGATGCCCGCAAATAAATTCAAAAGCCGCAATATAATGCATTGGTCGGTCCTAATCGTATGTCACAGATTTAGGTGGCACGCTAAAGTTTCGTGTAATCCACTGTAGGTAGACAAAAGTCCGCAGTGTCTTTTAGGCACGCCTACTCAGTATGCAAGCGTTTTCCTACACATCCGTTATACGCGACCGCGGAAGGAGTTCTGTACACAAAATAGTGTATTTATGTTCACTTCTTTTGGAATTCTTAGTCGCTGGCGACTCTTTGTGTTGATATATTGGGGTCGAGCGCGGAAAATACGTGCTTTACCAAAGCAAAACTACAAAAAATGTTACCGATTGTGGTTTTTAAAGTGAAACAGAACAAAACTAATTTATGTACAGTGATAGGTTTGTTCAAATGAATTAAAAGTTAAAGTAATCTATTTTTATATTGCAAACATTGAAGTAGTTTATCAAAAGGATAATCAACGTAGGCAAAGCCTACAAAGCCTCTACGCATCTTCTACGACAGGGCTTCTAATTTATAGTGGATTTATTTTTGCATAGTTTATTTACTACTAATGTACGATATCAACATTTCGTAAAATCAGGAGAAATTTATGTTCCAAAAGCATCAAAAATTTTATAAGTCAACTTTAGTTAAAAACATTTTTCGTATGGACAAAATAGTGTAGTAGTAAGTAAATGAACAAGCGGATAGCGTAGTTCGAGATATTCGCCGCACTAATCTCCATTTTAAGAACGGTCGTACGATTCTCGAGCCTAGGATTACGGAACTTGCGTGACACTAATTAAGTCGGAATTAAGAGCGAGCCTATATCAAGAACCGCGACGGGAGTTATAAATGAAAGGGTATTACGCATGTTTAGTTGTACAACGATCTCGTCGGGAAATATTGACAGAATTATACGAGTTTTGAGTATTATTTTCGTAACATTACAACAATGTTTTCGTTTACATGTTTGTTCAAGATTATGAAGTACATCTCGCAAACGTAGCGCTTTTCGTTCATTGTGCGTAGAACACGAGATTTGAATATGTGTCATTATTTCCGTAAGATGACGTAAGCGTTTCAAGACAAGGGAGAATAATCACATCTCACTAATATTATAAATGAGAAAGTTTAGATGGATGGGTGGATGGATGGATGGATGGATGGATGGATGGATGGATGGATGGATGGAAGGATGGATGGATGGATGGAAGGATGGATGGATGGATGGATGGATGGATGGGTGGATGTTGATTAGACTTTGTAGCCT